GTTACGCAATCGGAAACAAGATCTTGACACGCGTTAACTTGTGTCGTGAAAAAGTTGCGTGTCAGCGCTTGGTTTCATTCTACTTCTTTTCTTTCTCCTCTTTTTCGTGTTGCAATTTTACACGATTCGAAGATAAGATAGAGTTTCGTTGTGTTTTGGTGTTTCGTTACGTTTGTTCTAATTTTTCCTGCGAATGGGATCGAGCCTCGAAAAGACGCGTCATTTGTTAAGGGTCATAGTGTCATAAATACTTCGATCGTGTCTTTAAATATCTTTATAATTATAGGAAATTTGTATAGATTATCGGTCTTGCGTTGATACTGTTCCATCACATCCATCATTATGTAAACAGGCAACGTCGAAAAGAAGACGAGTCCGTGCCCTATTTGCCTGAAGAGACAAATACAATTTTTTTAATCTATCCATTGTGCATGCTTGCGAGCCTAACATTCGCAGTTATATGGATTTTCACAGATATATTCAGGAGAAATCCAAAAATCGTTAGTAATGTTAAATTTTGATGTATCATCTGTAGCGTTGTTTAATCCAGCGTTATATTTACACAATAAACAAAGTGTGGATAATCTCTATTTATCGTTGATAAAGGATAATAATAATAATGATAAATAATAATAATACAAATGTAGGTTCTCATTGGATGCTTTGTAGCAGCTTCTTTAATGTTTATAATCGGAATAGTCGAAATGAAACATGCAGATTGGTATCTCGATTTAACTAAAATCAACGACGAGGAACTGTTGGTACACCCAATTTTTATTCACAACTTCATCATGTGCTTGATATCGATTTTCTGTATGAGCATCTACCTTATACAAGGTTGGATTTTGTTAGATTATTATCATTGGGTACGTTCGAATTTTCATGGAATTTAGTTTAATTTTTTAATTAGAACAGTTCGTAATTTAAATCATAATTAAAAACAGTTACGACGTACTAATTTTCATAATGTGTAACATTTGGTAAGTTTCTTTGGTTCTTCGATAACTATTTTTAACTATCTTCAGATAAGAAAACAAAGTGGAGTTAGTGATTTTCAGTATACTGACTCTGAAACGGGCACCGAAGCGATACAAGGTCTTAGTAGACAAGATGAAATACATGAAACAATGTACCATGAAGCACCTGGCAGGCTGGTTCCGATTGCCACGTTAGATACACTTCCTTCTTTAAAAGAATCGAAGACATTGGTAAACAACAGAATATTCCAAAAAAATTTTTCGTTATTATGTTTTATCGTACCACGAAATAATAGAACGAAGATCAAATGTAAATTATTATTTTTACTTCTAATTTTCATATCGTTAATGTTTTACCAAATGTAATGTCTAAGAATTATTTCATTTTTATTTTATCTGTTTTATATGATCTTTGCCTGAATCAAAGACAACGATATATATCTTATCTGCGATTTAATTCTTCCGCCATCTATGAAACCAACTTTCGGTATATCGTCGATCACTTTCTTACTGTCGATAACATCGCTTTATTAAAGACCACTGACTTTGTACACAATTCGATCTATATTCGAAATACAATTTTAAACCAATTTCTGTTTTTAATCGATTTGTGATTGTGGTTGTTATAAAATAACGAATATCTACTATTTATTTCTTATATATTACCTATTTTTTGATTTTAATAAATATGAGAAATTATAGAAATTGTAATACAAACAATTTATTATGATTTGTAGAGTATAGATGAAGAGGATGTTATTTTTTATTGCTGCTTCGTCGATTGGTATAATTATCTCAAACAGAGAAGACAAATGGATCAACCACTGCATGAATTTCAAGTAATTCACGTCATGTAATCTTTTGTTTTAAATTATATTACAACTATATAGGATACAATGTATCCGATGTTTCCGAAACGTGAAGTAGATTTATGCAAATTTAAAGAAAATTTTAAGAAATTTAAAATCTGGTAACTTTTTCATCGATAACTATGAAGATTACCACGTTATATCAGAGAGGGCGCAGAATGCTAGTAATTTGTTTAGTGATACAGACAAGATACAGTATGAAGCTACAAACAAGGCACAAAATAAATTTCCCATCTTATTACATAACTACATAAATATGTATTTAGTACCACATGAATGAAAATATTAATCCTAAGGACAATCGAAGGTTTATCCACCATTTAGAAAGATCTTAGAAATTACATTCAATTATAGTTTATATTCATATTCTTGTATATCGATGAAAGTCTTGAAAATTCAATTAAATTTGTATCGTAAAACAGTAACAATCTATTCTGTAAAGCTGAATGTCTTCTCTTTAATTTTACATTTAAAATAAAAGATAACTTCTCATATAATTTTATACGCATTCGCATTTTACAATTTTCCAGAATGGAATAAATGGAATATTCTGTTTGAATAAACTTAAACTTAAACTAAGAACTTAAATTCTTTTCAAGTACGAAAGATAATTCCATCCGTAGAATAAGAAAACCATAGAATAAGAAAAATGAATCATGTCTAAGAGACATATGCAGCTTTAATATTAACGTTTGCTTCTATGACGTGTATAATTTAAAGGACTCAGTCTTCATTGCGCACAGCTCAGAAGAAACATTATTTTTAAAATATACGTAACATCATTCATCATCATTCAGTCATGTGAAAACTGTCACATATATCGTGCAAACACAAGTTAGTTTAAAATTGCTCACCCATTATCACAGAAATAAAATCCGAGATGAAATAGGAAAATTTATCACGTTCGAACCCATTTCATATATTATATACATATATCGAATTATACTGAGAATATCATTTCTTAGAAGAGATAATATTTTATAGCTCGATTCAGAAGTATTTACTTTTATCGAACTATATTAGATACTTCCACTAAATTTTTATAAATTAAAGTAGATAAAAAAAACTAAATTAGATATTTCACACTACATTTTACGTTAAAGTTCCTACGATGCAATTTCTCATGAACTAAAATTTCAACATAACCAAAAAATTGTATTCTCGTAATCGGAATAAGCAAAGGAAAACAATAAGAATAAAATTGCATTTTGTTACGATGTGTTCAGTAAAAGAACGAAGTCAAGGTAACGGAAGAACGGATAGAAAAGGATCAGCGTAAAAGATTCTGATAATAGAAAAAGAAAATACGAAAACAAGAAATGGTCGACGATCCACGCATTTCGACTCGAATTCCCGTATGGTAGTGACGTTGTTTCTTTTGCTCTTGGATGATATATATTAAAGAACGTGACGTAGCTCGTGCGCTCTCATAATTTGCCATTGTAAATTCCTCCAATGCGAATTTTACGATGCTTCGCATGTGAGAGCGATACTGTATGACGCTGTAGGCGTAATCGGCGACATGATGTCATTCAGGAGTGACGTAAGAGCAACGAAAGGCATGGTTTGAACATTTAAGGAAGGTCTACTACATATATACGATACAAATCGATGCGATAACTTATAATGATTTTGGAATTTCTTTATCATCATCTTGGAGAAAATTTATAAAAAAATTCGTAGAAATTATAATTATAAAAAAATTAGGCTCGGACATGAACGACAGTTTGTCCAAATATCTATATTTTATTTTATTGTGCTTTGAAGTTTGAAGGAATAATTCAAAGATTAAAATTGTTTCTTACATTTGCGCTTAATTTCGAGACCAAATAGAAAGATTAACTGTAATTATCGTTTGATTAAAATTTGCTTTTATTTGAGTAATAATTCCTCTAAACAGATAAAAATGTATCATCATGGCGAATAAAATTAATAATGATATGAATCACGCGTGGTAATTGATAATAACATTGCTGACGTATATATTAGCGAAAAATGAATCAGACGCTTGAAATAGCGATAACAACTAACAGTGTTTAGAAACAGAAATAAAATGTATGTTACTAATAGATAAATAGTAAAAAATACAACATCGTAATTCAGTACATAGTATTAATTTAATATCCAAAGTAAGGCGTACCAAATGGTCATCAAGATGTACCTAACAAGGTTAAATAAAGCTCGATATACATACATATGTATATTCTCTTTCATGAAAACCAACGCCTGACCATTGACTTGAATGAACGTGATCGTGTTTCCAGTGCTTCCCAATTTTTCAACCTGACTCTCAACTTAACTCAATTTTATATCATGAATATAAAAAATATTGAATTTCTTAACCGGTTTAAATTTACTCGATCAAATTTTTTAGCATTTATTGCTATTTGCAAAAAGTACGTATTTGCAAAAAAATTGTTACTAGCGATGGTGAGATGAAATTATGGAAAATTTAGTTTTACTATAAAGCATTGTTTACGGTTACACAAACTTTCTTTACGATTTTTGTTCACTTCGCGTATTTTTTTATTTCTGTATGATTCTCGAGATCATAGAGATTACATTCAAAGTTCCTGTAATTTAGAATTTAATTGTTCGATTGTTTAATTGTTCGATTAATTAATTAGTAATTACACAAACAAATTAAAAGATTGATTTTGAGGAGTAGATATAGATGTTTATGTTCTGTGTTGCATATTCTGAGTACATTATTTTTGATCAAGATCATCAGTGATTATATCTCTATTTACAAATCTTTCGCTAACTACTATTGCACTTGTACTATAATTTATCAATAAAATCTAGAACACAAAATAATCGACAAAGATAATTTCTATACTAAAATAAACGAAGAAATGAAAAATTCGATTATACGTACATACGATAATTTAATCTTCAAGATATATAATATTTCCAAAAACCGATGTATTAGTTTTATAACGAATAAACAATTCCAATCGTTCGCTAGAAATTCCTTATTTTTGTAGAGTTCCCGAGCAATCTCTGTCTCGTTGCAAGAGAAAATAAACGAAGGAGTAATTGAGAGACACTATACTACTACAAAGAAAACACGATACGACACGAAACACGTTAGCAAAGCCGAGGTTACAATACACGCAGTGTGCGTATGTAAGAGATTGTGTAAACGTAGACACGTTCAGTCACAGTCACCGATTTCAGTCCGGTAGAAAAAATTGTTGATCAACGTTGCTCCTCACGATTCGTGATCGGTCTTCTGCGTTTAGTCTCTGCCGAACTCTCGTCTCGTGAACATCCACGTCCGATCAAGTTGAATCTTTGAATCTAAACTTCGAAGTAAGTTTGTTTTCAACAAGATATAACAAAGTGGATCAAGTTCGATCAGGTTTTGTACGATATTTTCAACGAGTCGAAAGCAACAATAAGTAGTGAATTTTTAATGAACGAAACGAATGAAATTATTGAGAAAAATATCATTTTAATTTAACAAACAATCGATCGATATCAAGCGTGACATTAATATAATTTTATCATAACTTTTTGTACCTTTTCTTATACGAACGTAAATTAAATTAACTAAACAAATTCTGACAGAGAATTGACAGAGGATTTATAACGTGATAAGAGAAGTGTTGAAAGCAAAACAGCATTAATAATTCATTACGACAAAGTAGAGTAATAACCGATGTTAATTAATTAAGAATATGTTCCTGTTTCTTACGTGATAAATAAAAATTCTCTTCGTTGAATAATGTAAACTCGATTCACTTTCATCTGGAATATTTTTATGAATTTCTTTAGTGTTTGTATATGTCTTTCTTGAGCATAGGATAATTATATACTTATGTTTTACAAGTGGCGGTTCATTTAGAGAGAATGCCGCTTTCTTCGATTTATGTAAGGTTGTTTACGCAAGGATGTTTAAGTAAGGTTCTTTTACACAATCAACTTATATGAAAATGTTCTATACTTTAAACGTTTTAGAGAAGCAGATATTCAACTTAGAAATGTTCGAGGTAACAGTTTCCTAGCTATTTTAAAATTAGTTAAAACATTTAAGTTAAGGTGTAATGTTTCGATAATGTACGCAACGTTTTAAACTTCTTATATTTTAAACGAATATTTAATTTAATTTTGGAGATGCGGATATGAGTAAGAAAAATATCAATTATTTTAGTTTCTTCAACGAAACATAGTATTTATTTATTTATGTATTTATTTCAACGCGTGAAATTCTATTAGGAATTTTGATACCTTTGAAACGAGCGAATGAAAGAAATCTGTCAAGTTAGAAAAAATCAATAAGATTAAATTTTATCAGGGTCTGAATGAATCATAATTATTTTAATCGCGATGGTATTAGCTTTGCTCATCCATCGACTGATAAACTTTCGTACGAAAGGGTGTAAAAACGCAAATGTGAAAATATTTTGAACAAACTGATAGATATTTGAATTTTTCTTCTTTGCTATTCCAAAGGAAGCCACAAAAAGAAAACGCATCGTTGAAAGATTTACGAAACCGAATCCTTAAGGATTTATAGAATCAGACTTATGAAAATCGATCTTAAAGCAATAGACAGTGAAATAAAAAATAAATAATCTTTCGAGAAGGAAATTGCTAAAGGAAACAACGTCAAAGAATCGAGTCAAGGTTTTCAGACCGATGACAGTACGAGTGAAAGTGCGACTTTCTTTTCAGCACTGAATGTTTCATGCAATGCATATCCGTTTCCTGTTTTGCTTGTATCCTTTTAACGAAAAAAATTTGCAAATTAAATTCTTTAGAGATTTTATGGACCTCTCAACTTTCATTGTGTTAATAAATGGGGATACTAAGAACGGCATTGTTTGATAAACTGAGTTCTCTGTCAGACTTCGTGCCAGACGACTAAACTCATAAATATCTTTCTACATTCATCCTCGATATTTTAAACTAATATACTTAAGAAGTCGATAAAATCGTGTTTGGGCTTTCAAATTTGCCTCGAGTTTCTATAAACATGAACGTACTTGTTTTTACAAATATAATCCTCCGAAATGCCATTCGAGAGATTCAGAAAGAAAGTGGTATAAAATATCCTTTAAAATCTTTAATTTAAGGAATTGCGAATACGGTTAGGCTTTAAGAGAGGAATCTTCATATTTAATAAACACTAGAACATATTACCACGCGTATTCGTTAAAGTTGAGAGACAGTTAAATTTTCTAGTCTCTCCTCAATCTCTAATATCCTCGATCGTTTTCCTAACGTGATTCGTTTGATAATGATCTAACCATTCGAATCAGGTATTAACGTTTCTGCCAGTTTTCTTTCTGTCCATTTTTAGAAGAATTTGCTTACCATAAATGACCGTCCGTTTCACTGACCCAATTACGTGCAAATGTACGAAATAAATCATTTCGAAATATATTTTGGTGAAAGTCTAAACCTTCCGTTTTAAAATTCATATTACTATGTACATACGTAACTGTTAAAAGCAATTGAAAACTATTACACGATGACTTAATCATCAACTTTTGAAGTAACGAAACATCGTCAAAACATCGTTGTTTATCTAAACATACAATTCAAATGCTAATAATATGCACCACAGACACGCAAATCTATTCAGGAAACAGCATAAACGCGTAGATATAAGTAAGAGCCTTCGCATTTGCTATTCGATTTGCACGAATGGGATGCGTCAGAGTAACGAGCAATTGTTTACCATCTGTATTCTAGAAGCTTATCAGGTGACAGAGAATGTATCGTGCAAATGTCTGCTCTTTTTTTATTCGAACGTATTATAGCTTGCTATGTGATTCATGAGGTGAATGAGCAATTGATTTCGAACCTCGTGAATAATCATTTTGCTATTAGAGATATGAAACGATCGACGAAATTTAGTACCTAGCATAGCTGAGAACTTATACAAATTATTAAATGTTTTTTTATTCGCTTAAATATTATGATTATCAGATGTATACATATCCGCGTTACTTATCAGAAGATTGATTTTATTACGAGGAATATCGCGTTACATCGCGTTTTTTTTTTGTTTGTTTCGTTTGATCTGAAACTGATTTCGATAATTCGAGAATAGTTGCAGACGACGATCGATCGAGGGGAAAAGAGACGATTCACTGATTTCTCGATTAAAAATATTCGAAATAATAATAATCTGTGAACATTAGTAGTAAGTGTGTAAACCATCGATATATTATGGTTAATTTATTATAACTTTGGCTTCTCATAATTTTACCATAGAAGTACAATAATTACTATCATAGCTAGCTTATAATTTCGCACGTATTATGTACATTTTATTCAAGAAAGAAGCAAACTGTTGAAACTTTCGTATAGTCGTATACTATCCATTTCAAAGTTACTTTGAAATTAAAAACAAAGGTTATATAAGTATCATCTTATAACTAAAGAAACCGCACAAGATTATTTACTTAAATTTTGAAATAATGCTGCTCTTTTACAGATAAGTCAGAATGGCGATCAATAAGATGACTATCATCAAACTGTTACAGTTGGTAAGTATAGTGATAATTACCAAACACAAAAATCATATTATCTAATTACTAAAATTAAGATTATCGTAACTCCACAAATATCCAAATATCAACGAGAAAAATAAAAAAAAACCTATGATCAGTAAACTTGGAAGCCTAACAAAATTCCATCTAGCACTATATCGTCTAAAACTAAAATTTTCAGTATTTACATGGGTATCTGCCACATCGTAAAAGAACTATTCTTATCTTCATTGTATTATTCTCTTTGACTCGTTTACATCTATGGTGAGGTTATTTTTATTGTAAATTTTTTTAGTTGCATCCGGAGATAACTTCTCATAAATTATTGGTTTCCACTTCGTGCTTTTTTAGGTCTCTCAAAAATCAACAATAAACGTTCAAATCTCGTAGAGATTTCTAGATACTAGTTTCTTTGATATAGCAGAGCGGGTTTAGCAGAATGGAGAATGACATAATAGCTTGTGATTAGATAGATACTGTATGCGAAATTCTCTTCATGTTTTATGGTCGTGCCTTGAGCCGGAAGTCAATCACTATTGAAGTATCCGTTACAATTCCTCAGATACGCATGCTATCCTATGTATTGCGTAAATTTTCCTAGTGGTTTTCATAATCAAGCTTTCTTTATCTCGCTTAAATTCTCTCTATAATGTTGATCATCTTTTCTTATATATGTATATGTATATCTTGTTTTTATTTTTGATATTTCCACTACATTTAGCAGGTCCGTTTAATGAGAATCGAAAGAATCACGTTGGTTTAATCTGTGTTTTTTCAGAAAATTTGCATCATTAAGGATTTAATGATTTAGTTACAGATTCTGAAATTAAAATTGATTGAGAGGATACGAAAATGAACGAAAAAGTATATTAAAATGATTTAAGAAATTCAAGCAAATATTGACAGTGCGTTTTCTTAAAAATATTGCTACCTTATTGAAAGAAACATAAAGATATCGTAGTGGAAAATAACAAATTTGTAATTCTGCTATTTGATCATCTTAAATATGCTAACAAACCGTATTTCCTCTTTCACGATAGAGAGCTACAAGATTATTACACGTTTTATCTCTTCAAACCAATTACTCTCCCAATACTATAAATATTCTCCCAATACATGACCAAACCAATTACATCGGATAAACATCTATGACGTATTCGCAAATACCGAATTCAGATTTTTCAGGAACAAAGATCAGTGCTATTATCATATCAACAACAAAAAAGAAAACAAATAATTGTCAGGAATTCGTGTCACATCTAATACCAAAAATTGAATGTATGACGTAATGTTATTTAATTAATTAACAATACAACACGATGAAGTGAACAGAACTCATAATACGCCATGAATGTAACATTAAGAATGACGGCAGAATGCTTCCAAGTTCGTACATGGGTCGCCATCGATTGGATTTCTGCTGAAAATTTACATCTCTGTAATAGAATCGACTTCTATTTCAAACGAAATAGAATACGGTCGTTGAATCCTAATGAGTTACTACTTATGGTGGTATCGATGGAGTCGATGCACTTTGTCAGTTTGGCCCACTTTCCCACTTATCATTATACATATATGCGTATGTCTCCTTTCAAAACTTATACCCTTGAAATAGAATCGTCTCTCCTAAGCGGAACCCGATCGTTGAATCCTAATGGGTTATTTATGGAATTGGATGCAACTTGTTTCGTTGGCCCACTTTCGTATACTTATCACTACTCCCCCTTTTAACAGAACTGCTTATAGCCCGCGCCTTTTATATTCTGTCTCTGTTCTCTATCATTGTTTACGAATATCACAGCTTGAATACGAATTCGGAAACTCTGATCCTATAACGCTTTAGTCTCTGCGCTATATCTTTTTTTTATCTTTTATTGTTACTTTTATATTTCAAATATTTCAAGAATTCAAGAATTATTAAAGTTCTAGATTCTAGGGATATTTCATTTCATATCTTAATAACAACGACACTTTAAAGTATGTACCTACCATCAGAATTTAAAGAAGTAAACGATTTTTCATTGGCATTCTCAACAGATATAGTCTTGCCTCAAATTAGGTACGATTAATTATGATCGAGATGCTAGGTTGAGTAGTACTCGAATTAATATTTGATTATTCGCGATAGTGACTCATACAACAGTTTAGAGATATTTAATTGAGCACCTAGTACTTGAGATAATTTTTGATTATATTTACTATATAGTTTCTTTGTGTACATTATTCCTTTGTTTTATTTTTAACTGTCTAAATATATATTTAACGCTTTTATAAATCGTATGTGTTCTTTTATATCATTTTCAGATAACGGTATGCATCCTCATAGCGTTGCATTATCACTCTTTCAGTGATGGTAGCCAAAACAGTGCGATGATTACGATGGGCGCTTTTGGTGGATATTTAATTATCCTGGCTGGAGTATTCTTTGGGATTCTTGCGGGATATGGCATGGATCGACGTCTAGTAAGTAACGTTTAATAAGCCTTATACTAATTCTCCGTATTGACAAGAATTTCCAAGACAAAATACTGTATGGTATATGTGTAAATTGTATCCTATATTTTCTTTAAACCGTGCTTCAAATTTTTATTAATGTATTCATTTTGACTTTCTCTACGTTTTTCATCGAAATCATAAAATATCAGCGCAACATAGTTGATATACCGTTAAGTTTTCTATAACTCTTCCATTATCAATTTTATTAATATGTTACAAGCATGAACAGTGGACTAATCTGTTCGCCCGCAAACAATGAATTAGTTCCTCATTCGAATTTTTATTTAATCCCTTCGCATCAGATCTGTATCTCTTTTTGACGACGTATCTTTCGATGTAATATCGTTCATGTGAGTCTTGATCGAGATGTCTTCTTTTCATTAAAACGTTAGATATTTTGACCATCTACTCGCAAAATAATCAATTTATAAAACACTATGTTTGTGAACGTGAAAGAGGTTAGCCATGTTAAATGTACGAAATGTTTTATAAGCAAATAATTTTATATTTCCAAATTATATAAAATAATTCAAAGCATGGTATTATATACAATACTATGTTAGAATGCCTGATATGCGACATTCAGTTGTAAACATTGAAAAATGGAGATACAAGATAGTTCCTATGAAGCATCACGTGAACGATATTGCGTCGGAGATGTATTTCATACAAAAACATCGTATGAACGACATTGCGTTGCAAAATATCTTGTCCAAAGCGTTATCCAAATATTTTGTCTTTCGAGGGGTTAAGAGATGACTCAGTTAACAGATTAATAGATAAAACGATGTCAATGGTAGAAAGCAACCAGTATTTTATGTAAATTATAGAAAGATATATAACTTACAAGAGTCTTAACTTGCAGGACATGTTTTACTCGTCGACCGGTTGTGCCCTGTTCATCATCGCCGGTGCTTTGATCCTTGACCACTTCACAAATTCGGTTTATCGTGGTTCTTACCGCGATACTGGACTCGCTAAAGGCTGCATCAGCATCGCCGAGGGAGTTTTATTTTTGGTGGATGCGATACTCGTGTTTCGAGGAGAAGCCTAAAGTACAGAATAAATTCTTAAATAATGTCAGGGGCCGTCTAATCATCGATTCGTTCTTGAAAATACAATCATATGATGATGAGAAATCATCACGAAAATGTATTGAATAAACTGCTGTCAAATATCGAAGGAATCGAATTGATTATGACGGAAAAATCTTTACTTTTGAAAACTTGAAGAAGAAACAGATGAAAAGAAGTGAAAGATTGATTCGTAAGAGGAATTTTGTGGATATAAAGGGAGTAGAAATAAAAATAACATTTTGAATAAGGATTTTTTAGCTTCTTTTATCGCTGAAGTAAAAATATGTTTTTAAAAAGAAACAATTCTTATATCATAATAATTGAGTAATTTTTTATAGTAAATTCATGCTAGATGAGAAACTATGAGTTGTGTTATTATATGTACAATATGTATATGAGTCTAAATATGTATTTGAATGCATAAAACCAAAAACTTTTAGTAAAGATTTATGTAAGTACCGGATTACAAAATTTGAAGAAACAAAGTGCTTCTTATCACCTTATAATTTTCAATTCTAATTGTATTATATTTAAATCAGTTTTTGATCTCCAAAGGACGATTGTTAAAATACTTTCCAATTATTTTTCATTGAATTTTCTTCAAATTTTGTAACACATTAATTATTATACCTCATCGTATTAACAATAGCTTTGTAAACATTTTCGTTTTTATATCGTATTTATAAAATTTTCGTTTGCAAAACGTTCGAATGTTTTCATGATTCATATTTGTTCAGGAAAAAATTCCTTCTCTTGATATTTATTATGGCTTCGAACTGCCCCAACCAATTTGTATCACACGAGAAAGTATGAATAATATTTGGTTGACGAAAGAGTTCGTGCGGTTTTCGACATGTAAATAAAAAAACAAGAACTGCGTGAACTTATTGACCGACTTTAATATTTATTCATTTGTGTCTTTTTCAAACTCAAATTTAATATGTTGAAAGTAGCAAAATATTTTTCTCGAGTAAATTCCTTTCTAACGTAAGGCCAGTGAAAGCGCTGTAATCGTGATCGTTACACATAAATTAAGCCACAATCACGGCGCCATATTTACTGTAAGTTGACTAAACATATTGAAATAATACTCTTTCTTTTCTACCACCTTATATCATAATTAATTATTCACGTATTTATTATTTTCGAATGCTTACTGACTCTTATTTCATTTTATTAATTTATAAGTTCTTTATGTCGTCAGAACATGTAAATCTTCAATAAACATAATCTACATTTAAAATAGTGATGATTACTTTAGGAGCAAAAGAAATGGTTCTCTTCAATTCTGTTCAAAACATTTATCGTTTTATGTTGTGTAAAATTCTTTTGGAATAAATATAGTTTTTTGTTTGCTAATATTATATAACGTACGTTAAGATACTTTATAAATAGCATTAAGACCATTATTTGAAAAATTGAAAGTTCAATTAGAACGTATATTGTGCGTAAAATAATCTTATATAATAAAATCTTGACACGTTGTTTAAATATATTTACAAGCACAAAGTTTTATATATAAATACGTTTAAGGAATAAGGCATGTACGATTTACGTTCAAATAATTTGTAATAAAGAGAAATACTTACGTTAAATTAAAACTTAATATCATTTTAACGTAATCGTCCGGTAGGTCATAGTTTGGCTTCGATATATTTCGAGAGGCACGAGTCGACAGGCGTTTTGAGTCGATATGAGTCGGTAAGGTCGATCAGCTGCAATAGTCGATCGTGCATAGTTGCGTGTGTGCAGATTGTACCGCCGCTTCGAGCAGCAGTTTTATTTACTAATTAGAGTGCCGATGTGCGATAGGAAGCGTTAAATGTGCGTGGAAAATGTCGAATCCGGGCGGTAGCAGGAGGAACGGGGCCATGAAGATTCGTTTGACGAGTGAGTTTATTAAGAAATCATGATGAATCTAACGAGACAGGAGCGTGAAAGTCGACCGATAGCCAACACGCGTTGTGATCCTTCCTGTGTCTTGATTTGTTATGTATCCGTTGATATAGCCCTGTCATAATTTTTACGATAGCCCATCTTTCAACAACGGCAGAACAATCATTATGGATATTGTATATCATTAGATTAGTACGAGGAAAAGAATACGCAGAAAGATCTGACTAGGGTTTTCGTCCTTTGGTTATGGCAACTCCCTATCGGAGGTCAAGACCCCACCGTGAGCACTCCGGGAGACCGTAGACTGAAGACGTTAATTTTGGTGGACTTATTACACCCGCATCAGCTCTCCTTCGATATATGACATGTCTCATAGAGCTTGAAACGTTACGATCATTTTTTACTTTGAAATCGCTCCTTGTTGATTGATTCAATGGGGATTATTGCCGAGCTCATAATCGAATGTGAATAGGCCTAATTAACAAATGTCAGACGCTTACTACCGATACACCAGTTTAATATCCGTTAAACGAATGTCCGATTTATCCGTCTGATAATATTTTGTTATTTTAAAGACAACTGTAAATTTGTCAATTCATGGCTAATTTTTTTTTACGAGATTTATAATAAAAAATTATCCTTTGATCCTTTAAATTGTCAAGCTTTTCTTGAATTAATGAAATTGCATATTATTATTTCATATCATTGTGCACTAGAAAGTATTGAATGATAAAACTAATGGGTCAATGCCAAAGATATTAAAGAGGATTGATATTTATGTATATTATGATGCTATCTTTCGTACACTGCTAAGTAAATGTGTTTAGAAATTAATAGTATATTTATGTTGCTTTTCTCTTGATTGTATTATTCTACGAATCAATATTATCTACGCTACAGAAATTTTACTCATTTATTAGAAATTATATTTATTTAAAATGAATTTATGTATTTATTGTGTCAATTTTACAGTTTTATGTGCCCGTAATCTTGCCAGGAAAGATCTGTTTCGTGAGTATCTTTTAGGTTAAAATGGATAAAAATCATAAAGAATATCTTGTGTAAAGAAACATTTCTTTCAGGCCTACCAGACCCTTTCGCTAAAATAACTGTTGATGGTTCAGGTCAATGTCATAGTACACATACGTGCAAGGCAACTCTAGATCCCATGTGGAATCAACATTATGACTTGTAATTATTTCCCCATTATAATAAAGGCATAATTTTCTACACGAAAAGTACATAAATTCTTAATTCTACAGGTACATTGGGAAAGATGATGGTATTACGATATCAGTTTGGAATCATAAAAAGATCCATAAAAAAAAAGGTGGAGGATTTTTGGGATGTGTAAGAATATTATCCAACACGATTCAAAGACTCAAAGATACAGGATGTAATTATTATTTTCTATAATAATAGTAATATTTTTTTATTTTAGCTCCATAGCCAAAAAAGGACTTAGTTTATAATCTGTACTCAAATACTGACAATCATTCATTCACTTCATTCTGTTAATTTCTATAATATTATACAATTATTAGTATTAGAATTTTGCAGTGTTTAATTACTAAATTTAATTCTTTTATAGATCAGCGATTAGATCTTTGCAAAGCACACTCAGATGACACAGATGTTGTTAAAGGAGAAGTTGTAGTATCTCTTTTATCACGAGATGGTCATAATGGTGCTGTGAGTAATACAGTGGGTCATAATGCTGTTGTTGATGTTCTTGGAGATCTGAGCTGTCCAAATGATTTGCCAGATGGATGGGAAGAAAGAAGGACTCGAAGTGGACGACTATATTATGTTAACCACTATACCAGAACTACACAGTGGATTCGTCCAAACGCACGGTTGGTTTTGTTTTTCTAAAGATATATTTTTCTTTTTTATTAGATTCATTTATATTAATGATTATAATAGACCCACCAATGGTATAATACCAACTACACCAGAACCACCACCATTACCTTCTTCTGAACCTACATCTCCCAGTGGCAGTGGAAGTCCTCCTAATATAAGAACTGAAAGTCCTACTAGATGTACACCTGAATGGAATGGGGATGGAACACCTAGTAGAACTCCTAGCAGAGATAGTTCTACCCCAAATACACCAAGAAATACTCCCACTCAGCAGCAGAATAGAAATCAACAAAATCAACATAACATAAGAAACGTAACACCCGCATCATCAAGGGAACGACGGCCAGTACGAGCAAGCGACGAACAAAATGGCAATCAGAATGGTAATACTAGGCCTGAACGTGGTATTAACAATGCTCAACCACGAAGGCCTAATCGAAGTAATAGAAATAGAAATAGCGCACTGGTTTATAACGAAAGGAGGTACGATCCTCCGCAACCACCAGACTTACCCAGAGGTTATGGTAAATATCAAAATTGATGATTATAACAGTATATATACATGTACATATACAGTATATATACAAAATAAAAAAATCTTGAAATAAATTTTATAGAAATGAGAAAAACGCAACAAGGTCAAGTGTATTTTTATCATGTACCAACTGGTTCATCCACTTGGCACGATCCTAGAATACCTCGCGATTTACCAGCTAATGAATTAGCAAGTGAACTTGGACCATTACCGAGTGGATGGGAAATGCGACAAACTCAAAGTGGCCGTGTTTATTTTGTGGATCACAATAACAGAACTACACAATTTACTGATCCTAGGTTATCCAGTCAAATCATAAGCAATCTGTTAAAGTAAGTTAGTTGTAAATGAAAATATTTTTATTTACGATAATTTATGTATAATTTAACTTGTAAAATGTTTTGCTCATAGTAGGCGACAAAATAGTACAACTAATCAAACTACGAGTAGTTCAAATAATACAACTACAGTTGCAAATGAATCTACAGAAATAGAGACACCTGCATCACCAAGTATTCAATGCAACATGGTTCAGAGGCCAAGAACAGAGAACGGAAGCAATAATAATTCTTCCTCATGTAAGTTTAACACATTTTAATGATATTAGGCTTATTAAATGTGTAATACAAATATGTAATATACATAACAAAGTTAAATATGTAATATGAGCACAAAATATGTTTTTGAATATATTATAAAAATTAAATATTTGAGTATATTATAAAATTATAAAATTCAAATGTTATTAATATCGCTTAAATAGTAGAAAAGTTAATCTATCTATTTAATGCTATCTAGAAAGAAAACAAAAACATATTTGTGCATTATAGAATTTTATCTTATCTCTATACGGATATCTGTTTGGTGGTTAGTTCCTATTGTTAATCAGTTTTACTCCAGCAGAATGCCTTTCCATTTTTGGGGAATTTTATTTGTTAGAGCGCATTATTGTAATAGCTGCTAAGTGAAAACAATTTTTGTTTATTGTTTTTGCATATTTATTTATTATATTTATTTTTTAGTGGAAAATACGTCAGCTCAAAATGCTCAAACTGTA